GGGCAAAGAAAACTCCCATTGTTGAAAAATGGAATGAAAACGATGAGTTCGGTTATATTATGGAAGTTGATTTGGAATATCCCGAAACATTGCACGACTTCCACTCCGACTATCCACTAGCGCCTGAAATAATGAATGTAAATGTGAATATGCTTTCCGACTATCAAAAGCAAGTCTTCAAAATATATTATGATGGTAAAAGTCCCAAGGACGAGAAAACAAGTAAGTTAATATTAAATCTAAAGGATAAAGAAAAATATGTGGTTCATATCAAGACTTTACAGTATTATTTGAAAATGGGAATGAAAATGGGTAAAGTCCATAGGATAATAAAATTTCAACAGCGGGCATGGTTGAAACCGTGGATTGACTTCAACACTGGTAAAAGGAAAGAAGCCAAAAGCGATTTTGAGAAAGATTTATTCAAATTAATGAATAACGCGGTGTACGGAAAAACTATGGAAGACAAAAGAAACCATATGGACTTTGAACTGGTTGATAATGAGGTAAGATATGAAAAATGCGTTAATAATCCAACATTCAAAAACCGATTTATTATAAATGAAAGTCTGGTGGGAGTTGAAAAAACTAAAGCGAAACTGAAATTGGATAAGCCGATTTTCCTGGGAATGAGCATTTTAGATTTAAGCAAATTACATATGTATCAGTTTTATTATGATGTATTGAAAAAGAAGTATAATGAAAACATCAAATTGATATATACTGATACTGACAGTTATGTAATTCAAACAATGACTGATGATGTCTATAAGGATTTCAATGATATAAAGCAACACATGGATTTTAGCGACTATCCTGTTGAGCATCCATGTCATGACAAAACTAATAAAAAGGTCTTAGGAATGTTTAAGGACGAAGTGAATGGAAAAGTCATTACTAAATTCATCGGATTGAAACCTAAATCTTACGCCTTCACAATTCATGGTGAGGTTGATGAACATAAGAAATCAAAAGGTGTAGTGAAACACAAAGTGAAAAAAGAACTGTCGTATCAGAACTATCACGAAGCATTATTTCAAAACAAAAAGCACGAAATCACATATAACTTCATCAGAAGTAAGTCGCATCAAATATATTCAATGTCTCAAGTAAAGCAATCTCTCAGTAATTATGAAAATAAAAGGTTTTATATTGATGCTTTCAATTCATTACCATATGGACATTACGCTATTACAAAGTAATAGCCTAATGAGCTTCGCGACATTACTCCATAAAATAATTGTCTAAATAGTTCTAATAATATGAAATTATTAGAATTACTTTCTCCATAATCTTTACCAAATATAGTTAAAGAATACATTGTATCTTATAATAATCAAGACTATGGAAAACATAGAAGCAGAAATCATCAAGGGTCAAATCTATGTCATCAAAAACACATTGAACAACAAAATATACATTGGAAGCACTAAACAAACACTACACAAACGGATGGCAAAGCATAGGCATGATGCTAAACATTGTGGAAACATGCTGATACATCAAGAAATGAGCAGACTTGGTATAGACAATTTCTTCATTGAGCATTTGGAAAATTTTGAATATCACAACTTACAACAACTACGAAAAAGAGAAGGTGATATAATAGCTGAACAGCAGGCAGAACTAAATGAAAGAAAGGCAGGAAGAAACACACAAGAATATTACATAGATAAAAAGGACATGTTCAAACAGCGATATTTCAAAAATATTGATACAATAAAAGCACGCGACAAAGAACGCTATGAAAGAGACAAAGACAAAATCAATCAACGAAAGAAGAAACATCGTGAAACACATATACAGACATACAAAGAAAGAGACAAACAGTATTACTACGAGAACAAAGACAAGCGACTACAAAACCACAAAGCGTATGTTGAAGCAAACCCAGAGAAAATGAAAGATTACTATCACCAGTATTACCTAAAAACCGTGAAAAGAAACAGGAATACAATAGACTACGCTACAACCAACTGAAGCTGGAGAAGGAAGCGAACAAGGCTTTGGACTAACATTGAAACAAGGAAACCCAGACCATTATGTAACAGGGATTGTGGGAAAATTAGGAATGGGAAACATTTAGAAACTGCTCAACGGTTGCCATCGGGTAAAAAATCAGATTGGGGTGAGGGATACATCAAACATAAACAAGATGAGTTGTATAAAATTCCTACTGATTTGATTAGTGATTTACTTGTCAGCTTGTTTTAGGACACTCAGGGGACCGAAGCCCAACCCAACCCATCCCAGAACCTACTAATCATGAACACCACAAAACCCAGACAAGACTCGACCCTTTTTTCCTCCTTGTTTCTCTGGCAGTGAGGTTTTTGGTTAGACCTTGAGATGGTGGATAATGGCACTCATATCCATTCGATATTCATGGGCATATCCGTTGGATATTGATAGGTATATCCATTGGATAAAAAGAGAGTGGTTGAATTATCCACTGGATAATGAAAGGTCAGTTGATTCATCCGCTGGATAATTAGGTCATTATTCACAAGTACAAATGCTCACTCAAGCATTAAAATCATACTGTAAGAATAATGAGCTTGAAGTTAGTGTCGTTTAAAAAAAAAAAAATGTCTTAAAATTGAACAATTATCATTTATGAAAAATAATGATTTTCGCTTTCCTAAACTAAACAGCTGGTGGTCATATAGAAATAACAATTATTATAAGAGATATATTCTTAGCGAATTAATTGAAATTTACACAGACCAATTAATAAAAGGATACGAGCATTATTGTTGCGAGTATAGTATGAGTTGTTATAGTGGTTGTATCGCTGGTGAGATTGAATACGGGTAAAATTAACTTTTGTTTATTAATATTATTATCTTATAATATGATTAAACATTGTTTTATAATCTAACAAGAAGGTTAAGACATTTAAATTAAACCTGAAACCCAGACCAGCCGACCAGCAACCCCCTAGCCAAAACTACTTAAAGAAATATTACCTTATATATTAAGAGAAAAATGAACGGTGATGGAATCAATAATTATATCGATAAAAAATGCTATGATTGTTGTCACTTCAAAAAAGAAAATATGGAATTGTATAAATTGAGTTTACCTAATGAAATAGTGAATAATATTATTAATTATTCAATGGATGGTGAAGAAGACATATGTAAAAATTGTAAAACATGGAGAGATAATCAATTTTTAATCAAATGTCTGTTGGGAATAAAAAGAATACATAATAGAAATGTAGAAGATGATATTTTAATATTTCTAACTATAAATAAAATACCACCTTACGATTGTGTTAAACAATTTCTTAAAATCAGTAAGAAAAATATGAAATGATTGATGATATATTATGGATGTTGGGTTATAGTCAAGAGAAAGGAGAAGATGTTAAAGAAAATATCAAATTATTTATTGAAAGTAAAAAGTTTAATGTTCAGAATACAGTGAGAGATGTTAATATTATTTTTAAAATGATGTATGAAAGAAGTAAGACAAACCAATTAGATTATTATCCTGAACTGAAATTATAATCATCATATAATAATAACATGTAAAATCTTATATGTTATAATTATACTGAACTTTTAACCTATAAAACCCCTTAAACTTATCTAAATAAATAACCCCTTAAACATATAGAGACCAATGACAGACAAAAAGCAATGTTCCAAATGTAAAGTCTTTCAATTGTTAGAAAAGTTCAACGAGGGAAGAAAACAATGTAATGTATGCTTGGAGAGCAAACAACGGTATAGAGAAGCACACAAAGAACAAATACAGCAAAAGTCAAAGGAGTATTACGAAAACAACAAAGAGCAGATTGTAGAGAAGAAAAAGACATATAGAGAGAATAACAAAGACACTATACTGGAAAAGAACAAGATTTATCGTGAAAAGCATAAAGACGAAATAAAGCAAAAATCAAAAGAATATAGAGAAAAGAACAAAGAAGACATAAATGAAAAACAGAAAGACTATAACCAATTGAAAGTAGAATGTCCTTTATGTAAATGTATGGTAGGAAAATACAAAATGAAAAAACACCAACAAACAAGTAAGCACCAACTAAGAGTGAAAGGTCAAGAAAACAATAACGATACTGTGAGAGATTACATGGAAACAACAAGTGACTTTGAACAAGAATAGGAATAAACAAATGAACCACCAACACCCCAGAACATAATAACTACTAAAAGGGCTAACTCTTTCAAATGAAAAAAATGTCGGCCCCTAGAAAATCCACCCCTAACACCCTACAACAAAATATAGGATGAAATCAAACAAGGGTGTTAAAACGTTGGATAACAACATTTGACCCAATAACCCCTACACTCCTCCCTCTTTCCCCCAGGCCCCCCCTTTTCTCCATTTTTTTTTTGGGGGGGGGGAGGTTTTGGAGGGGGGGGTTTAACAGAACGGTTGTGAGTGTGTGTGCTTTTGATGGCAACATGGTTGGCGTAGGTTTAACAGAAATCGAAAGGAAACCGAAGCCCATTTGAAGGTTCCCTCATTTTTTGAGGGGGTCTAGAATGGGCCTTTTCTAACCAAAGCTAGAGTATATTCCAACCAGTCTCTTGCAACGTTCGTATCACAAGTCTTATGAACATGTCTGTTTGCGATATGTGTTGATTCTGTCTGATGTCGGTCCGCAGTTGGCACAGCTGTTGACAGTGGGTAACCTCGGCCCAGACTTCTCCTGCAGGGTTTGGCACGCATTCAAAGTTCCTGCCAAAAACATGGAGGCCACAAATGACAAGTTTGTCCTTAACAATATCTGCCCAACCCCGCTTTTGCCCCCAACTCAACCTGACATGTTTACACAAGTTCTGGTCCATGTTGAGTGAACGTTAACATGACGCGTGATGTCAAAAGAGGTCTCGTACATGGCAATGCTTCTGGGCCTGCTTTTCGAACACCCGCCAAAAGGGAGACGTTATGTCCCCAAAGCGGGAGTCGTGTACCCAAGAATATGAAGGCACAAAACCACGGCGTCCGAGATGTCTGTGGCCGCGGGCGATGACCATGGCTTTCCCCAGCTCGTCACCTGATGGAAGCCATGCGGCAAGCAGTTCGCGGCAAGCAGTTCGCGGCAAGCAGTTTGCTGGTCCCATTTTGGGACAGGTGTCTTTCATGATTTTCAGCGCACCCTTTTGGGGTCTCTTGAATGGGAAACCAAGCAGAACAACCGCCCCCCCCCCCACCCCCGGAGATCCCCTGTGTGGAGACAAACCCAAACGTTTGCGCCGCCCCTCAAGTCGCCTGCGAGTGATTCCAGCATGGGGCTTCCAAAAATTCACGGAAGCCAAGATGGCCACAGTCACCTTGCCCGCTCACATGGTGCCCAAAATAGGTCCCCTCAAAACTTGCTGCTGTCCGTGTGGCTTCCCTTTCAATCCGCAGAGAGGATCCCCATTTCTTCAGAGCCAACCTAACCATCTAGGGATTGATCCAAATCTAGTCCAAATCAAACGTTCAATCCACTAACCAAAGTTCAAAAACCATAGGCGGGCATGCTTCACCTAGGTGATCCCGCTTTCTTTTGCCCAGAAAGCCCGCAAAAGCGATTTGTGTGGCGACACCCATCGCGGGCGCGCCGTGTTGGAGGAAGTCTGGGCCGTCCTGGCGGGAGTGGAGGCATGTCAAAAGGGATCACAGGAGAAAGGCGGCTTTCCGGCTTTCCTCGTGGCATGTGCCTTTTCAACGGTGAAAAGGCAACCCTCAACAATGCAGCCCACCCACCTTCTGAATGAACGGCCGCTAGGAACTCTCGCGGCCGCCGTTTTTTCCTTCTAGATAAATGATGGCCATGATCAAAGTTTGCTATCCCCTCTGTGGACATGGGTAGCAGTAGAGAGCTTCCTGGTTTTTGTAGTTGAGTTTTTCCCACATCTCCCTGATTCTGCTTCAAAACCACCACGTGCTCTGATGGTATGTTGCTTGTTCTGTTCGAAGAACTTCCTACCAATGAATTCCAGCTGAGTTCCCATCATCATATGGACCGTAGACTGGTGCCCTCAAAAGATCGCATACCCAAATGGTCCAAACGCTGTCTCGCACATTCCGCCCGATCAGCCTCCTCCTCCTCCTCGTCGCTCTCCTCCTCAGCGCCGGCCGGCCTGCGCAGGGCATGCATGGCATGCGTGCAACCCCCGCATAGATCCTCAAATCTAGCGAACAAACTCAGCAACCAAGCGAGCAAGCAAGAAGAACAGGGAAAAAGCTGTCAATCAAAGGTCTTGGAGAACTGGAATTCTTTCGAGAGGCAGTCCTAGTGATCTGATTCCTCTAAACTTCTGCGTCCGAGTTTCCGCTTCCCCATGGGCCAACGTCCTTGAGAGTCCAAACGGGTATGGAGATCCGCAAAGGGGACAGGTTGACAACCCCATGCAATATCCTTCCAGTCGATTTTCCACCCCAAAACCGGAGCCCCCAAGAGAACAGGGTAATTATATGTTCTTTCTTGAAAAAGCAGGAAAAGTGGCAGAACATCCAATTGAAGCCTGAGGGATGGTTTGGGGGGTGGTGGAAACCACCTTTGATCCAGTTTGATTCAGGCAAAGTGCTTGGAACCTCAAAAAAGTACTGTCAAAAGAGATCCCAGAAAGCCGATGCGAAGAACAAACCCAAACCGACCCGCCGCGTGTGACGCAGCCGGGCGCTCTTGCTCGCCTGGGCACATACTTCGCCCGGGCGCGCAGCGCGCGCAAGGCCGCGGCCTCTGCCTGCCGATAGGATGGATGGACGTCCATGTTGCGCCACTTGGCATGGACGGAACCCCATGAACGCTGGAGTTGTGGATGCAACCCAGGAATACCTGGTTGATGGGCTTATAAACTGGTAACGGGTGCAGGAATTCGTCCATCAGCACGGGGGTGTCCCTCTATTTGAACAAATAGGGGAGGGGCGCCGGTGACAACGGCCAGCATTCAAAGTGTATCGCAATGGCACTGATGTTTGAGGCCCTACTTACCCAAACTGAACCTTTCTCGGTATCCGGGGTACCCTGGATCACCACTGATTGGACAAAGCTCCAAATCTCTCGGTCCGCCTGACCATCACCGGCCAACTTTCAGCAAGTGATGTCCCTACCAACAAGAGGGGGTCGTGTATGTTCCATGAACGCCGCGCAAGTCCCAGGCTGTCAACTATGCCAAAGCAAGCTGGATGTCTGACATCCTTTGCCCGCATCCAAATGCAGCGCCTGGATCTGCCTCTCGAGGATGGAGGTCTGAGCCTCGGGAAAGTCTGCACCCCTAGCAAACCATCGGACTGGATCAGTTTGATCCTCACCGAGCGAACCATCGGCCCGTGTTCTTTCTTGCTCCGGACGGCGAAGTGGTGGGTGCTGGGCTTCCATGAAAAGGAATCAACGTGGATCGCTTCGAGCTTGGGATCCGGCCGAAAGATGGCACCACAGCCACCAACCCACCTGCCAGAGACCGCTCAAAAAAACGATCGACAGGGTCAGGGGAAGTGGCCCTATCAGTTTCAGCCCTTAAAGGGAACGCCAAGGTGAAAGGAGATGGCACATTTCACATTTTAGCAAGGAAAAGGGATGACTGAACGTAAATGGGGAGGAATGTGCCATCTACTCCCAACCAACGTTTGGCTACAGGAAAACCAGCAACAAGGTGCTTGTGAGAGCTCTCATTTGAACACACTGAGCTGACACCCAGCCCGTCACGCGCGAATTAGTATGACTTACCTTGAATGATGCTCCCAGGAAAGGAGAGTCAAAATCCAGAAATTGGACCTCCAGCAATGACCATAAGGGAGACAAGTGCATGAAAGGAACCTAGAAGTCCTCAAGTGGGGCATAATCAAAACCCTATCCAACATGGTTTCCGTCCCCTGCCAGCGTAGATACCCAAGTTCATCATTTCCAACACACCTCCCAGGAGCCAATCGATCCCCTCTAAATCGGGAGCTGCCCAAAAGGGACAAAGAAGGGGTCAAAACTCGTTGAGTGGATCGCTCTCATCCCAAAGTCAGCGAAGGTTTGACCCGACCAAAACCCTGTGATTTGACAAACAAAAAAAAGTGTCAGCACACACCGGCCATAAGGGGCTGAGAGAGTGAGGCTCCAGATACCCCCAAGATCGGTGGCCCGGAAGGCGTCGGGACCCACGCTGGATGGGCTGGGCACATCATAAAACTCTGGACATGAAACCAGTCGCCTTCCCCCAGCTCTAGATCCTCTCTTCAACTCATCTTGGTGAGGTAAGGTCAAGAGTTGGCCCCAAATGGCCAGGAGAATTGGCAAGGTTTTCTTGGGGCTGCGCCCCTTTCCGCAGCTTCCGCTGCATATCGACCGTTCAACTAGGGCATTGGTCAAGATGGGCCGTTCGAATGGAAGCTGACGGTGGCAAGTTTTCGGAAGAGTGTCCTTTTCAGAGCTGGGCAACACTCCGAAAACAACCAACTGCCGCACGATACAAGTTGGCTTCATGGCATCTGGGGGATCCATCGCGCCTCCTCTTCTGTGCGTATTCGGCTGGACAGCAACCTCGGGGCAAGGATGTGCACCATGGGTCCAGTCCAGGCTCGGTTACCATCAGACGCAAATCCGGGGTCGACATGCTCGACTCATGTCTGTCTCAAGGGCCATCGCCTTGGAATGGGTCCAAAGTTAACATCGAGAAATCACCCCTTGACAATCGCTCAAAATGCAACTTTGAGGGCTCAGGCGAACTCCGCCCCAACCAATTTTGAAACGACCAACGCTGGGACAAGCATCCAACAACCCATCGTCCCCGAAACTTCGAGCTCTCCCTCTCAAATGGACCATGCCAAAGACAACTCAGGAAAATGTCCCCGAGCCTCATGTCATTCTCTCTTGTAGGGAACCACCAAAGTTGGTTGGTCTTAAGGGGAAGCCAAAAGGAACACCAGCCCGAGTGCAGGCGGGCAGCTCGAAGCGGTGGTTGCCGCGAAGCTTCGCCTCGCAGGCGGGCGGCCAAAAACCGTTACAAGACCTGGCAGTTTTCGGTTCAACTGCAACTTCCTAGCGGTTGATTCCCCATTCTGCTCAACCATCGTTCTTGTCAAAATCCAGGCATTTTCCCTGGATTGCTGGGGGCTTTCTAGAAAGAAGGATTCCTGGAAAGATTTGGGAAGGTAGCCCGAGAAACTTACAGGGTTCGACAGGGATGGGCGAAACTTTAGATGGAAAGCACAAGGAGATGGCTTGGACAAAGATGATGAAACATGTTAAAACAAGCGGTGGCTAATACTGCATGTGGTTGATTCGTTGGCCCACCACCCACCGGGACGTTGATGGCAGGTGTACCCACCAAAGATTTGCCCTTTCGGAAGACTACCAAGCCATTGTGATATACAAGTGACAAGGCTTTTTGGTGGGTCTTCTCACAGCTGAGAGTGGCGAAAAGTACAAATCGAGTCAAATCCCAAATGGGAAAGGTGGCAACCTTTCCGAATGTCGAAAAGACTCTCCCAAGTCCAGTTTTTCTTAGACAATGCCATTCGGTGGCACGCAGAACTCAAAAAGAGTAAGAAGCTGGTTGAGCTCTGCCGCTTTGCCCCCTGAGACATTCGTGGCTTGCTTTGCCTTTGCATCTGCACCCGGAGTGGCTTTGGGTTGTTTGAAGATTAAAGACGGTGGATGCTCCCAATATTGCAAGGGAACGAGGGAAATCTATGTCCTGCGCCTGGTTTGCTTGCATTTGGGGCATCCACACCAAGTTCGGAGAGTCACGGCCAAACTTGCCGCCGCGCCTCCTTTGGGCCGATGGGCACGTGGCCTTGGACGCCCGGTGCGACTCGAATACAAAACCAACACCAAAGTATCCACTTTTTGATCATCTAGAAACTACCAAGTTTCAGCCCAAGTCGGCGTTGGAAGTTGTCTTCAGGTTCGGAGCCCGAACGAAGCGAGGCTCGCAGTAAGTGCTGCTAGGAGGCCTTGCAGCTTCATCGAGCCTCGGCGTTCGGAGCGCTGAACGGAAGGGTTCCTCTGAATGGAACGAAGCGAGTCGCAAAGACATCCAAAGAAAACCGACCATGTTTTCGCGGGAGCCCTATTCTCAGCTGGACCCAACTAAACACGACGCGTGCGAAAAGATTCTGAGCACTCCTGTGCCCAAGTCTTGGGTGGGCACGGATCTAAGGTTCCCTAGTTTAGGGGAATCAGATCAAAGCAGCCCCCAAGGAAAGGTTCTTACAACCGGAGAAGGGGTGAACTTTCTGCGGGGAAGGGGTGTCCGAATGTCTCTCTTGAGGAGGGAGATGAACAGGCAGGGCGCGTGAAAGGAGAGCACTCTCTGCAACAAAAAATGGCTGCATCAGAGGATTGATGGATTTTTTTGTGTTTTGAGACAGTAGGCAGTATGCCTCTTCAGGTGTTCATGACACATATTGTGTGCAACACGAGAATATGCATCCAGCCGCGTCGTTGTAGCACGAGCCTTGCTAGACAAAGTGCAACGTGGCAAGGCGGCACGGATCAAACACATTGCATGCATGCACAAAACCTGCCATGACAGACAAACGAGGACAGGTAAAGATAATCCCACACCACAATGAATCCAACCAGGCATCTTTGTTGTGGCCTCTGATTAACGGATCATCTCCGGACGGGTTAGTCTCCAAGCTTCAGGGGAACAAAGTACAATGGACCTTGCAACCACTTCGGGGTATCCTGTGTCTCTGGACCGCCCCTTGCAGCTGCCCCGTATCGGCGGGATGAACTCCAACCCGCTGGTCCCTGACGTGCGCAGAGCCCCGCGCCTAGCGACACCTCCGACGGCGAGGGCTTGAACTGGTCACGGCGCTGCCAGCGGCAGGACCTCCGGGCACGCCGCTTCGAAGCCGGGAATGGGAAGGGGGGGGGGGGGGGAAGGTCGAAGCGACCACTGCGTTATTTTTCCTCTGCCTGGAAACTGGCTGACAAAATTGGCCCAAGAGGTGGTCTAAAACAACATAGGCCTAAAAATGATACATGTAATACATGCCCATTTCGTGTCGAAACTGGCGCTGCTTTCCAGCCAAATGAATTGCTTGGATCACATTGACATGAACATAAAGGAGGAGTTCTCCTCAAAGAAGATGCACCCCTATGACGAGGAGCTTTCTGAATCCTAGCGCGATGTTGATCTGGGGGAAGCAACTTGTTTTGTTCAGGAAGAACTATCCCTCGCATGTTTATCATGTTTGGCGTTGTGTTTGCAGTTGACTCATGCACAAGTCGAATCCATCTGCACGGCTGATTGAAAAGATGGACACAGTTGGATGACTGTTGGATAAACTACGTAACCCCCTCTTTTCTCTAGAAGATAACATTGGTCTTAACTTGTCGGACGTCCAACATGGTGGGCTTCCTTTTGGTTTCCCTAGCCAACCCGAGAAAACAATACTTGGCCTCAACAAAGCAAACATCTACATAAAGCTCAGGCTCGGCGCTCGGTGGTAAATGCTGCCCACCCCCACCATCGTTGATGGGGCACTTTGCCAACCAAGCAGCCGAGCCATCAAACTCACCAACCAACCAACCAACCAACCAACCAACCAACCAACCAACCAACCAACCAACCAACCAACCAACCAGCCACTCAACCAACCAACCAACCAACCAACCAACCAGCCAACCAACCAGCCACTCAACCAGCCACTCAACCAGCCACTCAACCAACCAACCAACCAACCAACCAACCAACCAACCAACCAACCAACCAACCAACCAACCAACCAACCAACCAACCAACCAACCAACCACCAACCAACCAACCAACCAACCAACCAACCAACCAACCAACCAACCAACCAACCAACCAACCAGCCACTCAACCAACCAACCAACCAACCAACCAACCAACCAACCAACCAACCAACCAACCAACCAACCAACCAACCAACCAACCAGCCACTCAACCCACCAACCAACCAACCAACCAACCAACCAACCAACCACCCAACCAACCAAACAACCAACCAACCAAACAACCAACCTGCCAGCCACTCAACCAACCAACCAACCAACCAACCAACCAACCAAACAACCAACCAACAAGCCACTCAACCAACCAACCAACCAACCAAGCAAGCAAGCAAGCAAGCAAGCAAGCCAACCAATCAACAAGTCAAACCCCCTGCCTCAGCGAGGTCTTGCAGACCTGGATCAGCGACACCAAAGCCAGCAAGCTCAAGGCTGCCAGCACAATGGCCTCACATCCAGAGCACCGCCCCCGCAAAGCCCGAGGCGAAATTTGGCGGGGATCGCCTTGGAAACCATTGGGATGCCTCTTTTTGTTGGGTTTTAGTGGCAACCATCATTTGGGAGCGGTGCCCCTATTTTGGCACACACACACATTTGGCCTTCCCTTTAAACACTATAAGCATGTTGCTTGGAGACATCCAAACACAATGCATGGTGAAATTAGCCTTAGGATGAACACATCTCCAAAAACATCCAAACACGTGCAAGTTCTTAAGTCAAAGGCTGAAGGTATGGACTTGCGCAAGAAGCCCTGTGGCATGAGTCTGGAAAGCCGCCAAAGTGCCCCAAAATAGCAGTGGTTGGTTTGGTCAGGGGACCCACAAAAATGGCGCCCTGTTGGCTCTGCTTCGCTCTTTCCAACAAGGGTCCCTCCAACTCCAACAACGGAAACAACAAGAAGAGGGCCCTTCTTGGCCAATAGTGCCATGGTCAGAATACCTTTCGTGGCCATGGTCATGGCTCCCTTAGTAGGAATCTTTGTGTTGGTTGTACAAAAACCCGAATTGCTGGGTCCATGACTTTGGCATGGGTCCTTAGCGGCAGTCCCATAAGCCACTGGGCTCCCCAGCATAGTGCGGCTCCAGCACACGGCACTCCACAGGCAGTCTGCCTGGCGGTGATAATGTCAACCTAACCTGGGATTCAACTGCTGGGTGATGAAAAGGCCGACCCCTTGGCCAAAGCAATGCCATCCTCTGGCAAAGGGGAGAGGCATGTTCTTAGTGGTGGATTCGGAGAGTCTGAGCGGGGTGGGAGGGGGGGCCGGCCTCAGCAGGCTTTTGATACGACCAACCTTTAGATTAAACCTCTACTCGAATCTCTAACTCTGACCTCAAACTCTATCCTCCAACGTCTCTAACCGCAAACTCTAACCCCCAACTCCGAGCTTAACTCTAACCTCTTGCTCAAACCTCTCGATCCAACCTCTAGTTCTACCCTCTAGCTTGTCTAACCTCCAACTTAGCCAACCTCTAATTATATGCAATCTCTAACTCAAACATGTAAGTACTCTACCCTCAGACCCTACCCTCCAACTCCTCAACCTCTCGCTCTAGCATCTAACTTGCCTAAGCCTCACTCTAACCCGTTTGGTCTAGAAGCATGTATTCCGTTGACTAAACGTACTGTAGATGTCGGACATTGTGGACAAATTGTCGACGCTCTCGGCCATGGCCGACACCCAGCATCACCATCGTTACGTAGATGATAGACACATTTGTGACCCGATTGGTTGAAGCCCTCATCATCGCCGCAGTTTTAGTCGTACAAAAGTGTCTTCCGTTCGCCATACCTAGATCATGGACACAGTTGTAGACTGAATTGGTCGACACTCCCAGCATCACCATCGCTTTAGTCTAGATACATGTCGCCCGTTGGCTAAAGGTAGATGTTGGACACGTTTGCAACTCGACTACATTGGTCGACATCCACGGAATCACAGCTGATATGGTCAACAAACTGTGTTCCGTTCAACAAGTAGATTTTAGGCACGTTTCTCGACTAAATTGGTCGACACCCCTAGCATCACCAGCGGCTTAGTCTAGGAACATGTGTTCCCTGAACTAAACATTTCTAGACTAAATCGTTCCGACTCGCTCAGCTGTACCACTCGCTTAGCTTAGAAAGTTGCCTTCAGTTTACTGAGAGTAGGATGTCTGAGGGCAAAATTGGTCTGTCTAGCCTCTAACTCTTTCCTCTAGACATCCGAGTCTAACCTGTAGCTCGGATCGGCGGCGTGCAGGCGTCTGCAATAGGGGGCGTGCCCGTTTGGTGAGAATCCTTCAGGCGACAGCCCCCTGCCAGCAGGATGGGTTTATTCATCCTGGGTTCCCATTGGTTGGTCTCAAGATGGCAAAAATGCCCCCACATTCGAAACAAGCAACGGAACCTGCAGCCATGAAAAATCGGATGTGCCAGGGAAAATTTTGGGGACCCCGAGAATAGTTGGCCCCTGTTGTTTCCCCTAAATCGATGTAGGGCTCAAGCGCAAAGAAACACCTTTGGCCCATCTTGAGTGACCCGTTGAATGGTTCTAGCACATTGGTAGGATGCTGCACACAGGAGCTTACCTTTGCTGGCGATTGGAACCCATTTTACTGGAACCAGCTGGGAGTCCCCTGATTCTTGTGGGACAACAAGTCCTCCACTACCCTCGGATAAGGCACTCCTGGTGGCGAGTGTTCAAAGGGAAAGCCAAAGGGAGCCAAACAACTCGCCTGTTAACAAGACACACTCGTATGTGCCATGGTCCAGATGCCTGATCCGGGCTCTGGTCATGGTTCCCTTTGGAATGAACTCTTATTGGTGGTCCAAAACCGGAACTGTCTTGTTGATAACCAGGGCTGCCATCCCAAAGGGGTGTTTTGACCATGCACATATTCAGGCGGAAACCAAGAAAGCCGTTTGCAGGACACACTCATCTGGGTATGCGTCAACATAAGGAGCCCCACAAGGTGCACAAGTGGTGCTCTCCTTTTTGGCTCTCCTTTAAACAAAGCTAAGAAGGGTACACACACGCACACACGTATGCATTGCGTCATGTAGGGCTTGACTAATGCACATGGCTGTGGCACCCCCGAGGTTGGCCTTCGGGCACAAGCTGTGCGGAGGCGTTGTATGTGAAGTAGTCCTGGCGCGCCAGGCCCAAGCCCTATCTTCTCAAAGTGGCAGGTGGCATTTCAGAAGTCCATTGATGAATATATTGCCCACTCAACATGAACAGAAAAGAAAACCACCTCGCAAGAATCATACCAAGAACAGAAAAGTGGTTGCGCTTGGGTTCAGAAAAGCAGGTGAGAATTCAGCCCTAACAATCATCCGTCCCAATACAGTTTTGTGGACCCAATGAAATTTAATAGTTTTGTGGGCCCAGCTCACTGGATGAGCTTCAAAGGACAACGAGAATTTGCTCCTCCTTGGTCTGGCAAAGTCGGGAAACCCAGACGTCGCGCGAAGGCTCCGATGCAATCTAAACATCACGCTGTCAATGTTGCTTTGTTATTCTTTGCTTGTTTGCTTGCTTTGCTTGCTCGTTTGCTTGCTTTATTGCTTGGCTTTGGCTGCTGGTTGGTTGCATGGTTGCTTGGTTGTGTCTTTGTTTGTTTGTTTCTCTCCAAGTGTGTGCGTGTGTGCTTTGTGTTTGCATTTGTGTGATGCTATGCTCTGTCATCTTGTTGCTTTGCTCTACTTTGCTGTGCCCTACTTTGCTTTGTTCGGCTTGGCTTGGCCTGGCTTGTGGTTCTTGCCTTGATTGCCTTGCTTGCTTGCGGCCTTGCTGGTGCGCTTGCTTATTTCCTATTTATTATACCTTTGCGATTGCCATTGCTGTGTCCTCCCTTCTCTGCTAGTGTGGTATGTCATTGTTTCCCACTGTCGCTGTCTTGATTTGTATACATATAGAATGTATATGTCTACTTAAAATCAGAATGGTTCCTAATCTGGAGTTATGGCTACAAGTGGAGCTCATGAGAATTTCCTCAGACAGGTCATGTTGGTCTCTTTCTTGCCCTGTCTTGGTTGTGTCCTATTCTATGCCTTCCCGCAGATTGATATACATCCTTTGTAGAAACTCCCTCGCACCCGCCCTGGCAGCCTGGCGGAAGCGCGGCAAGGCGCAGTGCCGGAAGAAGGAGCTCGCGGTGGTGACCTGAGGAGACCGCAAAAAGAAAAAACAAAGGAACACGGACGCAAAAGGGGGGACCCACCAAAATGGGCGGCTTCCTTTCAAGCCCAAAAAGGTGAAACTCTACTTCTTGAGGGTACCCCTTTAGCTTCAACTAACAAAAAATGTGGATGGTTTCCAGGGTAGCCTTTGTGGGGCTAGTGAAAAAGGACACCAAAGGGAAACCACCTTGGGGGGTCCCGTATTCTGACACATACCATCACATACCCAAATGGACACAAATGAAACCCAAACAACAAACAGACGGACAACAATAGACAAACAACAGACGGCATCAGGCAAGAATTGACAGACATGGGCAAAAATGAATCAATCCAAAAAGAAAAACCAACAACACACAGACACAAACTAGTAGAAACGCACACAAATTCGCAAAAGGGAGACAACCACTCACTCACAAACGGCACGTAATACAAACAAACAAAACAAACAGACAAAAAAACAAGCGAGTGAGCAAGCGAGTGAGCAAGCGAGTGAGCAAGCGAGTGAGCAAGCGAGTGAGCAAGCGAGTGAGCAAGCACACGCAGGTCCCGCCTGTCCAAAGTACTCGGGGTAGATATGGCCCCAGCCTGGGCCGTTGGAACTCCAGAGGTGTCCTTTCTGGGTCAACTGTTGCAATCGACTTGGTGACTTGATTTGGGCATCTCTTTCGAGGCTACCCATTTGGCGGTTTTAAAGGGGAAAACAGAAGGGACACCACCATTTTGGGGCCCCCTAACAAAGGACACACCCATTTAGTGAACTCAGTGTTTTCCGATGTGTTCTTGTTGACAGCCGCTTTGCCTTTAAGGGGCAAGGGGTACACAAAAATTAGGCCCTTGTGGAAAAAAATAGCGGCACTGATAAGCGAAACTCGAACCAAAATGAAACTGGTCGAATCCATCCACGTTCGACCAAACTGACCTGCAAGGAAACCTATGCCAAGGCTCCCTTTCGACAATTTTGGGGTCCTCAAAAAGGCGCACTACATTGCAAGGGTCAAGACTCTCAGAGAACAAACGGTTTCCAGTTCCCATTGCAAATGCCCAAACGAAGCTTCGTGGCAATTGCCCATAGACGAACCTAATTATGGGTGCTTCCTTGCAGCGACGACAAGCCATCTGAAAGGGAGGGAACACTGCCCACGAGTGTCCTTTTGGTAAAGCACACGAGAGAGATCATTGTTTTTCAATGGAAACCAAAAGGACACCCATGCCCGTCTGGCTTGTGGCTCTTGAATGCACTCGGAGAGGCTTCCTGAAGTATATGCGCGCCGCGGATATTGATCATTGCCCAAGCATTGTCAAACTGCGTTGGCGCAAGGTTTTGATGGGAAATGAGATGCCAGGAATGATATGCAATGACCTCCAGGTGGCACATGTTTAAACAATCTAAAACAAAAACATGTGCTTTAGATTTGCAAATGGGACAGAACACAAACAGGAAGGATATGCAAAAAAGGTCATGGGGGGGGCTCAGCATTTGTATATCTATCTATAAACCCTTTCCTGGCCGAATTGCTTTTGCTATCGAAGTTAACTCCGACGTGGTAAAGGGAAACAACCCCAGTCACTGTTATAACTCCGAATGCCAAACTACTGATCCCAGTTGTAGGTGATGATCAGTGGTTCATTCGGTGTCTCTAGACTGGCCGGTTTGCTAAAGTCATCCAACAAGAGTTTCTGTATTGTGGGATAGCCTGGAGGTCCTGGACCGCTTTCCGCTCCACGGGGCTTTTCGCTGGGCTTACCATCGGTATGCCACTTGGCCCGGCCTACCGCACGGCCGCAGCGGCCAATGTCCTTGGAGCAAACGGACATGCGGCAGGGGCACGGGTGGAAACAAGGGACTGAGACCCACCTTTGTTTCAGGAAGTAATCACCATGGGGGAACAATCCAGGGCCGGCCCTGAGCTCTTGGATTTGTTTTATAGGCAGCGCCTCTGCAAATACTGCATCTCAGCCGGGAACCTCTATGCGTGTCGTTTTACCGCCGGCCCAAACAGGAGCCGGAATCGGCTCCGTGGAATCCAACATATAGAACGTACCCATCCCACTTCCGCCGGCTCGAGGCGCGCACGTGGCTGAAGCGGCCACCCCACTCGCAGCTCTTCTTCATATCCTGCAGCTTCGGGCCAGGGGATCCCAGGTCTCACCGATCAAACCACATAGAACTAGCGGATCCTCCGTACTTTGCCCAAATACCCTCTTGCAACGGAAGTTGACAGGAGGCTCTTGTCTTGAATGGCTTCCCGTCCACTTCCATCACTGTTGGAAAGAGGGTAACATACCCAGAAAACCTCCATGCTCGGAGGAATCGCCTTTGGGGGGAGCCCCTTTTGTTGTCCCCGCGTTCCGCTTTGCAATTCTACAGATTGTTCCAAAACCTGGAAGGGATCCCCAAGAAAAGACCTTCATCATGGTCTCCCGGTGAGTTTGCCAAGACATGGGTAATTAGACTTATTTTGGACCCTGCACCCCCCCCCCCAAAAAAAAGGAAAGAACAAGAAAAAGAAGAGAATGCGGTGAAGCTAATTCCTTCCCACTCCAACATCCAATTGGCTCCTTGGTTTCCGACGCCAAATCACGAACAAACGCATCACGAGAGGATGTGGCAGGATGAGTGCGGCTAGTGTTTGCAAACCTCCAGCTTCTTGGATCTCGTTGGTTTGTGCTACACTGACCATCCCCTACTCAGCTGCTCAGCCAGTCACAGGCACATGAGTCGAAGGCTGGACAAACGTAGCACCCACATTGCATGGCCGTCTTAGGATTGGTGCTCTATGAGTATTATTCATTGGGTTCAAAAAAGAATCAGACCAGAGTGTGGGGTATCGGGAAAGAATGAGTAAAGTCATACTTCCGCGTCACATCTTTGGCGATTGGTGAAGATCAGATCTGGGTTAAGGTTACTCTTTGTGAAAGAAATAGCTATGACTGGTGACTGGACAACTGCATCGTTCTCCCAACAGCGTGCAACTACAGCAGCCCATAGTCAATACGAATACCCCGGTAGGCCATGCAAGTAGGCAAGAACATAATCTGCGCTAAGGGGCATGCAAGTGACAGGAAGGCACAAAACCTTCATTACCCCGAGGCACTCTGTGCCAATAGAGCTATTTGCAAGCCTCGCCCACAAAATTGGAACTCGCATATGCACCTCTTGCCCACAAATTGTTCAAAGGCAGCTCGACGCGTCAAAACAAAGAAAAACCAACATAGGGAGTCCAAAAGAAAGGAAGCTTCATCACGTGCGAGGTCGGCATTCCACGTTGTGAGCTCCATCCCCTAGTCCAGTGAATGCAGTGCACCAAGTGTGGAAACTTCTGGCTGGTTCTGGAGGTATATGCCCCTCATAAAAGTGGTATATAACTTCTATACCTCCAGAGCCCGTGATTCGTTGGATCCGCCAAATTGCCCCAGCCACAATCCAAACCCAAGGGGTCTATGCAATGCGACGAATACCAAGTTCCGGTTGGTCCGCTAAGTTTATCCATTAGGCGCTAGTTTCCGACGATGATTCTCTCATGCACTGCCCCAGTGGTCCCCCTCCAATTCCCCCAGCTTTCGTGGCTATCGTCGCTCGTCGCGCCTGCAGCGTATCTTTGGCCAGGAAAAAGGGCCCTCGCTTGCCGCGGTCCCAGTCATCTTGCCACTCGTCCTGGCCGATCGGTTCAAACTTGACAGACGATGTTTCTGTTGGTCGGCCTTGTTTGGTTTCAACAGAATGAGACCCGGAACCCAGCTGGGTTTGGCCCGGACGGGTCCTTTTCCGGAAACTAAACCAAACAATGGGACCCCAAAATGGGGGCCAAAACAAGATTGAATTTCCCGCTTTGGGGTGCTTCATCTGAGGAAAGTAAACAAACAAACTTGTGCTGGCCGGGTATGACACAAGTTCAAGGCGGTTTCGCAACAGTATCACCCATGGCACATGAGAGCACTGGCATCTAAATGGAGGACACACTCAGATTGAAAACGCCGTGGGCCCTCCAAACAGGTGATGTCCTTCTGGTTTACCGCTGAACCAACTCCACAAGGGGCATCCTCAAGAAACACACACACACACACGACCATGTCAGTTGCAAGCAACTCAGACCAGACACATTGCATGCAAGGGCTCTGCGCGTGCAAGGAACTGTGTGTACTTGCATACGGGATCCCGCAGCAGGTCTGAAACCAACCCATTTCCCCACCAATGCGGCCGTTGCGAGATGCAAGGCTTTGGCTGACACCTTTTTCGCGTGGCGGAGCCGCTGACTGGATGTTCAGGTGACTGCCATGGAAAAGTGCGGGCGCTTCGTCTTGTCTCAAAACGCACAGAGGATGTCAAAACTCATCCAAGGTCCTGGTGGGAAGCCATGCCAACGCCAGCTGAGCTTATCTTTCCGCTCGCAAAGCGCCGTGCCGCACGCCAGCCGCTCAGCCCCATGCGTGCCTTTGCACCAGGGGCATAGCAAATTCAAATATCATTGGCATAAGATGCCTTTCGTACACGGGCTATGTCGCGCAGGTCTAGCCTCAAGAAAACCTCACTCTCCTACCGGCCGGAGTTCCTCAGGATATCCGACTGTCTTGCTCTGCCTTGGACTCTGTCGGCCTGAAACAGCAAGGAGAACCGAACCTGCGCGCCGCAGGGACGACTCAGAGTCGGACGACTCAGACCTCCGACTTGGACGTCTTCGGAGACATCCTCGGTCCGGTCTTAACCCATCCGAGCATCAGCGTGATTTGCATGCAGCATTCAGTCGGTGCCAAAAAGTTGAATTGAAGAATAGATCAATCAAACGCACCTAGGGCCTGCGGCCGAAACAACCCCGGCATACAACCTGCCTCAGCAAGTGGATGCCTCCCCATGTGTTGGATCTCCGGAGCCCAAAGCTCTACTCGCAGGGAATCTCTGGTGGGACACAAACGGGGTATCCGGAAAGCTTTTCACCAAATGTCAGCCTGCAAACTCGCAGTGAGGCATTCAACAATGGGGTGAAAGTGCCAACACAGCTTGAGACACCAAAGGGTGCTGCAGTCCCCTTCAATGCTTCCCAAACATCTCTCGAGAGCAAATAAGGAACTGAAGGCCTGCCCCACTTCATTGGACGCGGGGGACTCACGCTTGCCGATTCTGTCAATCGGACAGAAGCCTCCGCCCGACTCACAATCACCATGGATTCGCCAAACGTCCCTGCCAGACCCTCCACATACCTTGTGGCTTTGGTGAAGCGGGTTGTCAAAATCCAGGGGCCATTCGGTATCGCACTCAAAAGGAGGCACCTTGCGCGGCATCCGCAAAGGATCCGGCCATATTTTTGACAACCCATCCGCGCGCCGCTTTTCCGCATCTTCACCACATGGCCCGTCCGGGAGATTCCCGGCTTTCTCGCGGGGGTGACGCCAATTCCCGGCCGCACTCTTGTCTTAGAAAGAAAATCTATGGGAAGTTCGCCGGAATCTTGAAAGCACATCCCCATCCCCGAAGAACCTGGGTCCGGGAAGGACCCTCTGGTGAACTCCATGTTTGCCCAGCCCCTGACCAGTGGATAGTCGAAAGGCCATTCCCCAAACCCAACGAGAGCAGCTCGCATATTGGCCCTGAAATTTCGGGGAGCCTCATCAAGGTGCTTGAGTGCATTGCAGTCTGACACCCCTCTGGTGATTCCCAAAATCCTGAGATACGAGTCAGGAATTCCGAATTCCAAAGTAAGCAACCTTCACGACTGAGCTGTCCTTCTCCCACGTGTGCTCGCCATAAGGATGCTAAGTTTCCTCCGTCCCTTGAGCATTGTGGTAACACGTGGATTCACCAGACTTCACTCGAACAAAAAGCTGAACGAGATGCAAAACCCGTGCCAAATTGGGAAGGACCGCCTGCGCCGTAGTCCCCGTCAAAAACGCATCCCTTGTTCTCCACCCCATATGTGAAAAATGGGGTTTGTCTGCTGCCGCTTTTAACTGGAAGTAGACAACGTACCGGCTCAACTGACGTCTCTCTTTCAGGGAGATCACAGAGTTGTCAGCATCAGGCAGATGAAACTTACGCCAAATGTGGTCATCAACAGTAAAGACCTCCATGGTGATGCCGCTTAGCAATACAAGCCGTGTCTTGTGACTTGTGGCACAAGCAATGGAAACCGCGAGCAACCAGACTTGGAAATCATGGTTTGCCCCAAGCACCTCCGAAATTGGCGCCGCGCCCCGCTTTGGTTCGACGACGATTCGGCAGTTGTGCCCATTCGTCCCTCAACGACATGGCGCTGGTGCAATTGACCATGTCTCTGCTGCCATCTGTTCTGCCACCTGATATGCGTGCTTCTTTAAAACTGGTCCTAAAGCTGGTCCTGGTGTGTACTTTCCTTTGGTTTCCTGTTGCGCACCAACCTTTTGGGGATCCATGTTGAGGCCGCACATGATTGTTTCATCCACCAGCAAATTCAGTGCCAATGCCAATGCACCAGCAAAAGTTACAGTGACCGCACTCCCTTCAGGAGCAGCAGTCCAAACATGCCGCCCGGCACTTAAATCAAGGTTGGTATTCCGTTCTCTTCGTGCCGTAACAACAAAGGCGAGGTCCAAAATGTTTGGAGTGATTGTTGCAAGCTTGATCCAAACATTCTGAGTGAAACATATGCAAGGCACAAAGGAATCAAAGTAAATAAAAACACAGCTTAAGGCTGATGTGCTGAGGGGCCAGGCCCCACATTCAAGCAGTCGGCACATTGCTGGCGATGGCTGCCAGAGGCGAATGAAGAACTTTGGATTGAGAAACATTGAGGAAAGTTAAGTGCTGCAAATCAAGATGACGTGCTTGGAGTCTCCAACTTCTTGGTTTCCATGTTTGTTGGAAGGGGAGTATCCATCAGGGAGGTATCTCGTGTCATCCCAAATCACGAGTCTGGGCTTCCAAAGAAAAGCTGGGTGAGCTTGACATCCACGAACCGACGAGTAGCAGGGCATGTCTCATGGCAAGTGCATGGGGTCGCCCAAAAGGCTCCGCAGAAAACAACAACCAACTCAAACTATGAGCAAGCGCGGGAGAGTCCCCCAAATGAGTTCCTTTCCCAGAGCATCTTAACAGAAAGAGTTGTTCACATGGATCTTCACACGTGTCACGGGAAGTCTTTCGACGCCTCTGCAAAAACCTGGCGCTGTACGCAATGCCATTAAGCCGCTGCAAAGAGATTTCGAGAAAGCTCCTAGTTGGTTGCCTTAGGTATCCAGCTGAGGAATCTGATACTGCCTGCCCTGCACGATCTCGTCGAGCATCGCGGTCTCGTGGTGCCGCATGCTCTGCACGTACTTCACGAAGGTGTCGTGTCGCGCGTCCGGGTGGATAGCGCTGCCCAGGCACCTAAACCAGAGGCATCTCATGTGGACCCCGGATCAATAAACCTGGTGGATTGCTTGGGGCAGGTTCCCCCCAACAGTGAAGGAACCTCAACGGGACGCCCTCCGGTACTAAATGACCCGAGACCCAAAGGGCCATGGAAGCTCTTGCCCTGAGAAAGCCACAAATCGTGAAGCTAGCTGCAAAGCCAAGCATCGATTGGACCCACACTTTGCAACTTGCTTGAAACCATCGCTTAACAAGTGTGTCTAAGTTTAAAGGGCCGAGCTGCTGTTTGTACTCATTTCGCCCCATGCTACATGCCGGGCGAACCAGCTCAAAATCAAACAGTGTGTTTACAGCGGGCCACCCTACGAGCAGGACAAAAGAAGCTGCGGGAAGGTAAATCGAGTCGGTACAGTTGATGCCTTAATCGCACATAACCCAAGAATCCCTACATTCCGACTCGATCGCGGAGTTCTTGCATGGGGCGATACGCCTTTAAATCCCGGGGACTCACGTCAGACCGACTGAGAGCAGCAACTCAGCCTAAGACTTGGCCCAATGAGCCTCGAACGAGATGTCCAATACGTCCCCAGGAGGACATGGCCAATTTGGGTTGTCCCCTTGGTTTTGGCGAGAAACTTGGGTTGTCGCCCCAGGTTCTCCCCAAACCAAAAGTAGACTAGCAATAATATTGAAATTTACTATGCCCAGATGTTCCTCGAGAAAGAAGCAGTGTCCAGCGTGTCCGAAAAAAAAAATGAACTAGGTACTGGTGCAGTTCCAACCACCCAAATGTGTTTCATCTTCGGCTACATGTTCCCAACTTCGCTCGCAGAAGCACTGGCCAATTGTTTATCTGCCAAAAAGGAAGGCTGCAACCTTCAGGCCTTTTTAAAAGAGCCAGTTGATTCTTTGCAAAATGGCTGCAAAAGCGCCAACCTGCCGAGACGTAAAGCAGCCCTTGCCTGCTTCCGTGCTTAGTTCCTCAGCAAGTGAAGACTAGCCATGGTGATGGCTGCAAAGGTTGGGGCAAAGTGATGGAAAACTCAACAGGGGTCGCCCGTAGCTAGTTGCAAATGGAATCCATGAAGCCTCTACTCCAGAAATGCCACGATACGACTCTGCGCCCAAGGCGCTTTTCGGCCGTCTGCAGTGCCGACGAGGCCCAATCGAAGAGGAATTCCTACCAAGTCAGCGTGTTTTGGCCCAGGACTATGCGGGTGTTTGGGGGACACTTTAAGAAAATGAGACGATGCCATCATCAAACAGGAAGCTGTTTCATATTATTGCATTCAAAGTGATCCTTTAGAATGGCTACTGTGCTTCTGTGCCCATCCAAAAACAACGTGACACCTGAAACAGCGGCCCTGTCAGAGGAAAACTGGTCTTCCAGTTGTGGAGCTGTCGTCCAAAGGCTTCTCGGAAAAAATACATTTTCTGAAGGACACGCCACATGTCTACACTACTGATTGAGGCTTCCATTACGATCTACTTACGTGTAAATCAATATAAATATATGTGTGTATGTTTGCTTGTAAGAGTCGTTGCTTACATCACCTCTTGCTCTGCATGTCATCAGCGAGTGAAATGCTACTGTCTGCGAACCTCAACATCTTCATTGAGGACGTCTTAAGTGCGCACGTTGACTTGATCGTCTCCTTCTACGCCATGGTGCCGTCGCTGCCCGTGGCCGCAGCAACGTGGTTCGAATGTAAGTTTGTTCTTCACAAGCTCCTGCGCCTTGCCCAACCCAACAGCATGCAAGGTCGACTCAAAACCGAGTACGCCCGTGACTGACCTGCGAGAGTGCGCTCAGCTCAGACGCATTGAGAAAGGCGCTTGCCATCAATGACGCCTCGCTTGACCTTGTTGGTGCGGACTCGGGCCGCAATGTCGGCCTGTGGGGGAGGGCACTCAGGCAGCCGAAGGCTTCTGTTTTGGAACAGCTTGCTTCAGATCCTCAAGTTCTCGCTGCACTTGGGCAGTGTCTGACTTCAAACCCAAAATTTTGTTTGCCATTCAGCGCCCCTGCTCGCCACAGGTTGCGCTCAGCGCCTTGACCGTAGCCCTGAGCAATTCGAATTCCACATTACCGCTGCCTAAGCAGCCGCCATGTTTCCTTTTGCTGAAAACATCTTTCCTTGCTGTTACTGACTCTTTAACGGCCACATGCTGTTGATCTCCTGATCCAAAAGGCCCATACGCTGCGTCGCGCTCAAGAACTTCCAGCCAACACTGGATGGTGACGGGCCGTCCTGCGCGCCACCCTTACGCTCTCCGGGTATCTGTTTAGATGTCTGGATCAGCCTTGGAACTGGCGTACTTCTTCGCGACAGCAACCAGACATCGCTTCGAGTACGCACACT